CGGGGTGAGTGACAGCCCACGAGCCCCTCTGTCGTGTCTGTTCTGGGACCACGTGGAGCTTCCTGCCTGTGACCCACGAGGACATCCTGGCTCAGAGCTGTGACGTGACTGCGCTGATGTAAGTAGCTTGTTGCTTCAGGACAAGTGCCCACAGCCAGGCACACACGCAGCCTCCGACCACACACGTGGCACCCCTGTGAGCACGCCCCACACACGGGACACGGGTCCGTGGTCAGGTGGCCCCGCCTGCGGCAGCAGGATGTCCTGTGACAGCCGGGCTCTTCGTGGTGCCGCTGGACCGTGACCACCCTCTGCGGTCCACTGGGCCCTCGAGCCGGTCGCACGCTCACGAGAGGGTTCAGAACATCGGCAGAAGCCGCAGAAAGCACTGGAATAATGGGGCCCCGGCCCCAACTCTGCACATTCATTTGCTGCCTCTTTTTTTTTTTAATTGATTTCAGAGAGGAAGGGAGAGGGAGATTGGCAAAGATGAGAATCATTGATCAGCTGCCTCCTGCCCACCCCCACTGGGGATTGAGCCTGAAACCGAGGTAGTGCCCTTGACTGGAATCGAACCTGGGTCCCTTCAGTCCACATGCTGAGGCGCTATCCACTGAGCAAAACCAGCCAGGGCTCACTTGCTGATAAAGATTCAGGCAACTCACCTCAGGGCGCCACCTGGGGGTCGGACCAAAGCAAACTGCCTTCCTGGAGGTGAATTGCTCAGGGATGACTCGCTAGCGATGCCAGGCGGGCTCTACGCTCCAGGCTTGTTCCGGGATCTGAGGACCTCGCTCCTGTGTCGTGTGCTGAGAACATCGGCGTTTGGTGAGATAGGGACGAAGCACCAGAGGACTTTCCTGAGACGCCTGTGCTGTCTGACCACGTCTCAAGGACGAGCTGGAAGATGAGAAAGAAAGCGCAGTTGGAAACAGGAAATAAAGAGAATGCGTTGGCTTTTTGAGGAGCTCACACCAGGATCGTCTGCTGTCCGTCTGTGACAGGCCCAGGCGTGGGCTTCTGAAAGCCCAGGTTGCCCTCGGGTGTGTGTGAAACCCCAGTCACACGCCTTTTCTCAACCTTCAGAGCAAATACCACAGCTTCCAGTCGGGCCTGACAGCTGCTTCCCCACAAGGCCCAGGCCCAGCCC